ATCGCCAGTCTGCCGCCTATGGGGTGGGTTGTTTGAGAGTCATTTGAACCTTCTGTAGGGACGCCCTCTTCCTCGAAAGGGCCGTTTGCTCTGGGTTTGGTGCCTGTGTCTGGGACCGGACCTGTGCAGTTGGCGGTCCTGTCTGGGAGTGAAAGGGGTGAAAGGCCGGGGCGGCTGAGAGGGCTGAGAGAAGCTTGAGCCTGTTCCCGCTCAAAAGGACTGCCTTCGGGCGTATGGGGTTGAACGCCTGTCGGCCCATCTGCTAGAGTGGGCCAGTACTTTCCGCTTGTCCTTATTCTCAGTCAGGTAAGGGTTTAGCGCCTCTCCAAATAGCTGCCCACCCTGATAGGGGGCCGTGGCTAGGCACCACTTGGCCTTTGGGTCAGTTTGCCAGTGTCTGAGCCATAGCATCTGGCGTGCTGAGACGTTGGATGCTATCGCTCTGGATGAGAACCTGGCCGCATGCAGTGTGGCATCAGAGACGTACTCTGATGCTGCAGCAAGCTTGCTCAGGTCCTGTTGTGTCTGTACCTCCTCCTGGGAAAGTCTGGCTTGAAGTTGACGAATCCAGAGCAGGGAGGTTCTTGCAAAAAAGGATGCGCAGGTGGCAGCTCTTACCGCCTATGCCACCGCCTGGTGGTTCCTGCGGAATGTGAGCTCCCATCTCTTGTCGTCGGACTTTAATGCCTCTGCCATGTTTCCCGACACTGCGGTCGGGGAGAAAAGAAAGCCAAAAGGCTCATCTACTTTTGGTACCCCGAGATCCTCTGACTGTTCTGGTGTTGTACTGAACAGCTTCTTGTCTGTTCCACCCGGTGTAGGGAAGGTGATGTCCATTGTTTCCTAATGGTACTCCGGAAGAGTGTTGGGTAAGGAACATGGTGCTGAGCTACCATGGGTTCTAGAAACAATGGGTCTGAGCTGGGCAGTGGCTCTGGTTGAGGGGTATGATCTGGGCCAATGTTGGCTGTTGAGCTGGCTCTGCGGAGCAGAGGCAGGAAAAAGGCCTGGTTAAATACCCCTCCGAATGGAGGAGGGTCTGGAGGGGGGTCCTCCTCCTCCCACCATGACATGTCGTGTTGGTCGTCCTCCGTGGGGGAGGATTCCCTGCTGTGGAAGTATCGTGGCGGGGAAGAGGAATCCTGATACGCGGCTTCCCCTGATTGGGGTTTGGGTGGGGCCATGGCCATTATGGATTCAGTTCTCGGTCCGTGGTTAGCCCTAGCAGCCATCATCCTATGGAACGTTTGCTCAATTAGAGTCTTTAGACGATCCTCGGGGAGGTTGGTCTCGGGTTCCGCCCCCCTGAGTCCTGCCACTGTGGGTGTGAAAGTGGCCTCAGGTATGGATTGTGCAGCCCGTGTTGTCTGTGGACCCACCTCAGGGACCTGGAGGGACCCATCCGGCAACCATACTCCTTGAGTGGAAGGTCCCAGGGGAAGATCAAAGGATGTTTCCTGTATTTGCTCCACCTTTGCCTTGGCCTGTTTTTGTGCCTTGGAGAATTCCTTCTCCAGTGCCTGGTGCCTTCTGCTAGCCTGTTTCTCAGCCAACCTGGAAGGTTTTCTACCAGAAATGGACTTAGCCTTTGCTTTGATCCTGCCTGCTGCCTCCTGTTTGGAGGATTTTTGCCTTTTGCAGTTGGTGGGAGGGGAGGCGATGCTCAAGGGCTGAGACACCGTAGACTCCTCCATCCTGAGTGAGCTATCTCAGTGACCCGAGAGGGAGCTCTGGCAGGGGATCAGTTGGCGAGATGAGCAAGCAGGTGTAGCAGGGAGTGATCGTCCTGCTCTCCTGACCACCTGGCCGGTAAAGGGACCGCTGCTGTCCCACCCCTTTGGGGTCCGGTTCCTGTTATGTCCACTCGTTTGCAGCAGATGGCATTGAGAGAATTGGGAGAAGTGGTCAGAGTAGTAGGTGCACCAGGGTTGGTCAAGCTATTGTAGTGACTGTAGCTAATTTAAATTTAATTTTTTAATTTATTTATTTATTTATTTATTTATTTGCATCTATTACTCTGAGCAGTTTGGGAAAACGATGGACTGTTTCTTATTCACGTATTTTTCCCCTTTCCCTGTCTGGGATGAAAGGGAAGGAAGAGAGAAAAGAGAGGAATCAAAGGATTGCTTATTCCTCCCCGGGGGCTTAAGCCTTCACCAGGACCTATTCCTGCTGGATTGCTGCGGCCGTTCAAACAGCTAGAAGAAATGGCGGTCAGAATGCCAAGAGAGAAGGTGGAAGCGTCTCTATGTTCCTGTGACGAAGGGGCTTCCGGGCTATTGGCGGGAGATTTGTATGAAGGAAGAAGCCGAAGTTTCTTTGTTATCCCCCACGTGTCCTGGTGCTCAAGATGGCGATCGGGAGGACCTGACCAGGAGGTGGCTGGGGGACTTGGATATGGCTCGCGGGGAAAAGTCGGCTGGCGAGGATCTCAGCGGTTATGTAAGTTCAGAAAGGAACATCCCCCCAGAGCCACGGCCGCTGCTCAGCTGAGGACGGAAAAGCCGATGGGGAATCCCCCACCCCCTTCCGGAGGTATGGAAGGAATTCGGCTGCAGCGTCGATCCCCACGCTGCGCAGCGCTCAGCTGAGGAGAAGCCGGAATTTTGGAGTCTCAGGACTCCAGCTGCAGCGTTGAGCCCAATGCTGAGTGACTGAGAGGTGGTTTCCCTTGGAAGTTAAAGCCTTAGTATAACCTCGGTTTGGCTGCAGCATTGATCCCAACACTGCGCAATTGAAGAGAGATGACTGAGAGGGGGTTTCCCTTGAATGGTTAAAGCCTCAGTATAACCTCTATTTGGCTGCAGCGTTGATCCCAACGCTGCGCGATGAAGAGAGATTTCCCTAGGGAATTGGGCCTGAGGGGAAGGAAACCCACTTTCCCCAAGCTTTACACAGACTATTTCACACAGCGTTGGTCCCAGAGCTGTTGGAGTAGCTGTGGTGTGAGACAAGTAGAATCCACCAATATTTTAATCTCTATTACCTGCCTTAGACCGGGAGCCGATCTATCACTTCCGCCTGGGCTGAAGACCGAGTCAAAACTGGGGGAGTGGCTACCCTAGGACGGGCATGACAAATTGGCTGACCTGGTCTAATGGGCAGGAAGGCAGAGTTAACCCATTGGTGGATTCTACGTCTCCAGTGCTGGAGAACTTGTGGGCCCTTCTTAAAGGGGAGATTTACGGTGAAGGAAAACAGTACATCTCTCTGAAGAGTGTCTGGGAGGCTGTGGTTGCTACTGCACAAAACGATGATCTATGTTTGTTTATCAATGCGAACATGTGAATTTACTACAAGAATGTTACTGTTATTTAAAAAGATGCTTCTTTTATTTACTAATTGTGTCCTGAGATATGTGATAGACACCTATAAGGTATAACTTAGCTAGTCCAGGAGGCATGCCAGAACTGCTGATGTACGGGATTACTCATGTAATGAAGAAGAGATTGAAATAAGATTTAAGTAATAGTATAGTAAGCTAGCTTGAACATGAACACAAAGCATACATAAATTATATCCTATTACAATTTATTTGAATTTATGCTTTAAAATATATTTCTTTTAATCCACAGCAGCTTTGCAAATGGAACATCTCAAAATTAAATAATCCAGTCAATAAACACAATATGAATGTCTGCCAAGAAAAATATATAAACCATGCAAATAATAAAAGATTAAGACAATAAGTAATAGAAACTATATAGTTGTCATCCAAGACCAATTTAAGGTAATTCAATTGTCTTAGATATCATGGAATTAACCACATATTTTCTGCCTAAATTATTACCTCTCTTAATTAATTCTTATTGATGATAAATAATAATTATTAAATTATTATCTAAAAATTAAGTACAACTTTTAAAATAAATCTGTGCAAGCTATAGTCCAAACCAAACTGGCATTATTTATCTTTTAAGACCTATATATTAAAACAAGGTTTTTGTGTACTTTGAAGAATATTCCCAAAATCATTTTCTAATGAAACACTGTAGATACACAAAATTATACATGTATGTGTGTGTATTTAGAGATAGAGATGTAAATGATATATAGATATAGATTGTTTCCAAGGTAAGAATCACAGTAGCCAAAGTTCACATCCCCACCCCCGCCAGCGCTTACTGTAATTTTTTACAATCACAATAGTATTTTCTTAAGGGAACTGAAAGAACAGACTTTTGTTTTTCCCATTTTCTTTCTTAGTCTTCTGCTTTGCTTTTAATGTGACACCTAAAATAGCAGATGGATACTCTACAGGAATTACACTGTTCTACTTAAATCTGTTCCATACTACTGTAAAACCAGAGAAGAAGAATCCTTTTGCAATGAAATACGAGAATACTGATCTACTGCTGTATTTGGTATTGTTTATAATGTGGAAAATCTATTAAGAAAATTTCAAAAATACTACTCATGTGCATCCATAATGAAAAACTCATATAACAAGTTTGCTTGATTAGATTAGTAACTAAGCAATGAAGGTGCCAAAGATATTGACATTTTATCAATGGGATCAAACAAGTTCTTTCAGCTGTCTGTCTGAACACTTTGAGACCTGTTAAACTTAGTAACCAGTGTAGATTGTTTTGTTAAAGTTACATTAATATCTTAAGGCATTTTTACACTGACCCTACATCTATAATTATTTGGGTATTCTCAAAATATTTCAGTATGGATGTACAACAACACCTTTTTAACTGGAAAAACTGAATCAAAGTTAAGTATATATAATACATTTCTTCAATGCTGAAGAAATATATTTTCTTCAGCATTGGCATTTCAATTTCCTATACCAAGATCTAGAAGTTTGACATAGATTAATTTATTTCTAATTCAAAATCAATAATTTATATAGGGACCAGATTCAGCAAATTCATAGGTATGTTGAATACAAGAATGACAAATGCACTTGCAAATATTAGCCACACAAATAAGGTAAAATCTTTCATTTCTTGGCACTATACTTCTTAGTATAAATAAATTAAGATGAAACTAACCTTTAATTTGTCATAGCGTTCACTTAGAGCTGCTACTTGGTGATCACGATGCCTCCCAACCAGTTTACACAAGGCACAGATTAACTGATCATCAGTCACACAATACATGTTAACTTTCTCATCTTCATGCTCCAGACACATCAATCCTCTGATATGTGAATCAGGAATAGGCTCAATCAAACGGTGTCCAGTAAATGGCTTCTTGTTTGGATGAGTTGTTTTTAGGCACTCCTCACAATAGGATACCTCACAAGTTACACAGGTCTTGATTGCCTCCTGAGCAGGATCTTGGTCACAGAACTGGCAGAGAACTTTTTCACTCGATGACATGCTGTTGCTGTCAAAAGCTCGTTCTCGGCGAGTTTCGCTGGGAGAATTGGGCCCACTCAAAGAAGCTTTCTGAAATCTGTCTATAATATTCTGCAGTGTGACGTTGCGCTTCAGTCCGTCTAGACCCCGTTGACTGAGGGTGATGACATAACGACAAGTGGGGCACTGGAAGGCAGTGATAGATTCCACTGATTCGTTGGTAGCACACTGGGAGACCAAGATGCGATGTGCACAGTTGAAACAGAGACTGTGAGCACAAGGAAGCAACAATGGATCCTCAAACAGCTCCAGACAGATAGGGCAGGTCAGTTCCGACTCCAGTGTTTCCATCTTCAAGCAAAGGTTTCTTGTATCGTCAGCAAAATCCAGGGAAGCCAATCAGCTACCTGAAAGCATAGTATAATATTCAATTAGAAGAGGAAATTCTGTTTCAAATGTCTGTTTCAAGTTATATTTTTACAGTTATTCAGCCATATTTTCATGCTGAAGACGACATGTTTTGAATCCATCCATGTATTGAAGATATTTAAAAACCTTTTTTCTTGTATGTTTCCCTAAACTTCTATTTCTATCTTTTACTGCAAGAAATCCAGACATTTGATAAACATTTACATTATTTAAGAACTATACTGCAATGCAGTAAAGACAGACAAATACTACCACCACAGTGAAATCTGTTATTGAAATTCAACTCAATTGCACTATGAAATCAGCTAATTCCCCCCCTGAAGGGTCTTAATGCAATTGGACCTTAGGAATAACACTGGAATCAGAAATGTGTCCATTCATTGATTGTTTATATCTTAAATTACATCTTTTGGATTCCATATTAATTTGCATTTGCAAAGGACAATGGTCACTAGCTTGTGAGTGTGTCATATCTGTCTCAAAAAAAAATTGTGACTATAAAACAAAATAATATGCAAACATTTAGAGCAAATAAAGAGTGAAATGAAATAATATGCTGAAAGATATAGATTAGAAGGAGGAAAACTCATAATAATAAAAAGTGTGCTTCAGTGAGTCAGAAACCTGGCAAGAATATCATGTTATTTGCTAATCAGAGAACTTTTTAAAAAAGAAATCTCAGTTTGTCTTATTTTTTTGTTTATTACAGGTAAGGAAGTGCCAAGAATTATTGTTCTTTCCAGCCACGAAGTACAAATACTGTTTTACTGTGTAAATATTGTTTTTAATAGCCGTTGCTGGTTAGCTAAAATGCAGTGTAAGTTGACAATTACTTTTCTCAGCAAGGAATGCAGCAGCCATTCCACCCCCTGAAAAATATCAGCCCCCGAAACGACTAAAACTACTTTTCATTTCCTCCTTCACTGAAGATGTTACATGAAATGATTTTGAAAGAATTGCCCTACGTTATGCTTCTTCCCTAAGCTCTTGTCATGATCTTGAACTGTTATAAGTAGACAGTTCAGTGAACCATAAGCAAAAGCTCTGCTTCGCATTTGCAGAAATCTACTTCTTAAGAGTACAGTCCATTTAAACTCTGTGATTCATAAAAAAGGACAGCTTCAGATGACCCAACTGCGTACTCTGTAAGGTTGCCCTATTGTGTGAACATCTCTCTTTTTATTCCCCTAAAATTAACACAGAACTCTTGATTCATAAAGAGTGAAGGGAGCTCTATGCTCATTAGCAAGCTTTGAAGCTAAATCTCTTTCAACAATCAGTATTTCCCCACAATTAAAGTGAGGGATGCAGTTTCAGGGGCAGCAATGCCATGTGTAACTATACTAAACCATAATAGCAAAAAAAAAAGTGTTCAACAATGGAGGACAGTTGCAAATCAGACTCTAATGCTTATTCATAGTTACCTCATGATGAGGGCAAAAATTAGCTCCAGAGGGACATGAAAAATGTGCCATTGGATTTCACACTTATTTGCCAAAAAGTTAGAGAATCTCAAATAGCCTCCAGTATGGATAACACTAGATTCAATAAACTTTATGTTGTCGGCTTTATTCATTCCCCACTTGTTATTTTAACACTCCAAATCTCTTCCATAGAAGTCTTTAACTATATAAACTGAAAAAAAATCATTGGAGTGTGGAGGGAAGGGTAATCAATCAATGGGGGAGATAATATAGTTTTCTAATTAAAATAATAACACATTCTTGAAATGATGCAAATTTATGGCATAGTGACTTTTAGTAATCCCATATTGATGTCTTAAAGTAGCTTATTATTCACTGAATTACAGATTGGATCAGTTTCATGAGAAATTTGTGCAATAGCGTAGTTGTATAGTGATTTCAATGGTATAACAAAACTGAATTAACAGCAATAACTCTTGCATTTACATACAAATTAAATAAGGAAAAATATTTTTCTAAAATCTATATATGTATATGTCTTTTTCTCCCTCTCTGTATTTATACGTCTCACAGAAAGAGGGGTGGAGAGAGAAAGAGAGAGAAGTAGATACATAGGCTTCCTTTATAAAACATTACTCTTCTACATACAGAATTGTCTTTCTATTTTGTGCAGCTACTTGTACAGACTTTTAAAACCGAGCAATTAGGAAACTACGTCAAGCAATTAATTGTTCTGCCTAGAGGAATGGATCAAAAAAGAAAAGTTAGTGTCTCTAAAGTGGATAAATACACTAGACTTACAGAACAATAAAACCAGATCTCTGTTGATGCATCAAAGAAAATAAAAACTGCAACAACGTTCAGTCGTGAACTAACCTTTTCCTTAGCCATTACTCAGGACTGACTTTAGCATTCAGCAGACAGAAAAGAGGCGGTGCTATGTACAGTGTGGTCTGGCTCCTAAAACAAGCCTGCTGGAGTTTAAAGTAAAATGTGCTGTCCCATACTTGACTAGAAGTGAGTTTCAGCTTCCAATCAGCTTCTGTATGCAAAGTGCATGAATATCAGGCAGCAAAATATATGGCCCCTGCCCTGCCATCATAGTAACCTCAAAAGGAAAAGATCCAAGCATTTCAAACACATTGCTATACATTTAAGTCCAAAGTTAATTTCCTCCCACCCAAATGATCTGGTTACTAGATGTGCCAAGAAGTACTTTAAAGACTATAGTAATGTTTCTTAAGCCATAAAAATCATTTTATATAGGTTTGTTTTTTTAAAAAAAAATACGTTTACCATAAATACTAATAACAATGATTTCTAGAAATAACTAAAATACATCCCTAATTACTATGCAAAGATATAAGCCCATTCAAAGATACAGATATTAAATCACATGTTCAAGCAAACATGTTGAGTGATATTACAAAGCATGTCAGAGAACCAGTAATAAAAAAATATTAACAATACTAATACTATCCTAATACTAAACAACCATTTTAAACAAACTTAATATCAGGGATACATTTCAGGTATCTAACACAGGTCTCCTATGGGATTTCAAGTAATGGTAGATTTAAAAAATTACAGAAAAATAAACTTAATGCCTTATTTAATAACTTTAACAAGGAATTATAGCCCTACAGAAATCTGTAGCCCAACAGCTTTTCTAAACTCTATTAAGTTTATTATCAAAAATCTGAACACAATATTATTCACATAATCACATTTAGAAATATTAAAAAGCTCTTTTGAACTAGTTCACCTTTCTATAAAAGCAAAGTTTACAGTCAAAAGAAATAAAGCTTACTCAACCCATTTTTGCAAATTTGTTTTTAAATTTTGCAAATTTGTCTATGTTAAAAATCTCTTCATACTATCAGCTGAACATTACTGTATATACTCACCAATGGATTTCCACCTGAATATTTTAGCTGAAACATTGCTGATAAGTGAGCACGCTGATTCCTTGTCAGAAAATGAAAAGTCAAGAGAGATACAGTGACCTCCTCTACTTTGCAGTAATTCCAAGCTTTTAGCACTGTGAGTAACTTGGAGACAGTTGATATTGAAGCACAACAGGAAAATCTATGCTACAATTCCAGGAAAGCCAGCTCCACCTAATCACAGCTGTAAGAGTTTAAGGACTAAAAACTGCTCTGGAAGCAGGCTGGCTTTTGTTAATGACACAAAAGCAAACTCTCCTCTTTTTTTTCAGTATTCAGCACCTATCATGTGAGAAAGCAGCAAGGATCAGATTATCTAACTGTGCATCCACAGAACCACCCAACATTGCTTGTAATAAGGCCACTGGGCTTGGCAGCCGCGTTATTTGAACAAGTAAAAGCTCAGCCTGCTATGTAATTAATCCAGGGTTGAATAATGAAGTTCCCATACCTATAAAGGAAAGTGACCTGAATCAGCAAACTGTGTCACATGGCTAACATGAAGGAAGAGCTAAAACTTACTGAATAAAACCTGCATGATCCATATTTGAAGTTTTTCCATATTACTACATTGTTTGACTAGTTCCTTCTAAATACTGGTCAGCCAGTAGGAATAAAAGTACTGTAATACACATTAAGTAATGGTTTATTCTTTCTCAGTAGTGCCTTTCCAGGCACCTTAAGAACTCTCAGTGTGATTATTCCCTAAAAGCAAAGTATTATTGATTATAACAAGTTAATCAGAAATGCTACATTTTTAAAGCATTTAATTTTAAGAGCATGGATTTGCACTTGCTGAAAGCCCCCATCTATGTATCTTTCTCTCTTTTTTTAACCACTTAATTTTTAAAGACTTGTGCTTTACTGTAAAACAATTGAAATTTCTAGTTAGTCAATACTACTGTTTTATTAATATCTTTAATAAACCTCATAGGAAAAAAGTATCACTTTCTGACATTTTGCTACATATAAATACCTGACTTTTAGTTTTCAATGAAGGCATTAAAATTCACGTGAAAGTGGAAGTTGCAGGAACAAATTGCTTTCTTGGCTTCCACTTTGTATATGCAATGATTTTTTTATGTTGTTACTATTAAATGAAAAACACATTGCATATTTAAAAGGGACCTCAAATCATCATTCCATTTGCTCTTCATCCCAGAGAGAAGCTTGAGTTTTATTTGCTTTGCAGGCTAATTATTTTCCCTCATCATTTCCTTTCTTACATACAGTTAGAATACTGTGACAATAAGAGAACCATTGTTTCTACAGGCAAAACCATGACATTTATGAAGAATTGTTTGAAATAGACTGGCATAGTAGGATTACATGAAACTGATCTCTGGTTTTTATTGTCATTCATACATGCACAGAGAGCTTTGAGAGACAATTCCCCCCCAATGTAATCCAGTAAGTGAATGTAAGAAGCTTGAGGGAATAAGCATTTCCTGATCTGTGTCTTAAAGCATTAAGAAAAGAGAGAGAGAATAAACTAGAGCTAAAGCTCTTTCCAAAATGTTAATACAAGATTGTTTTAAACCATTTATTAGACCATATCCTGTTTCATCACATATAAAAATAAAAGCAAAACTCATGACACAATGTGAA